TTCCAACGAAATATTTTTCACTAGAAATATTTTAACATTGTCTGATGAGATAAAATCGATATTTTGTGAAACTAAGTCGACGAGAAATCACGCGTGCATTGAGGAACAAAGCTATTTTATTCGAATATCACTCAAAATGATGCATTATAGGAAATATAATATTAAATATCAAATTTGATAGTTTTACTGTATGAAATCAAGTGGTGAGTGAGAGTCACCTCTCGAGTGCAAAGGATTAATACAGTTCGAAGAGATCAGCGACGATTCAACTATCGCTCGGTTCGCGTTGCATCCCGGAGGCTGCGTTCTTACCGTTCTTACCGGCTACCGACCTTAACCGTTCCCCCGTTGCACCGTTTATCAGTGTGCTGTTTCACGGGCGCACGTGGTGCGACAAAATCCGAGGTCAAACCGACCGAGCGGCGGGCAGCCGGCCGAGGGGGAACGAAAAGTCGCGTCGAGGCTCTCCGCTGCCTTACTCCAGGGCAGACACGTGCAGCAACGTCCATAGTAATCAGGTCATCGCCTGCATCGATCGCGTCGCCGACCGGTACGAGGGTGCACACGTGTAATTCATAGCCGAAGACACAGGCTGCATGCCGCTGTTGTCCCGCCAGATGTTACGGTGTCCCGTCACTTCGATCGTGTAAGGTCAAGCTTTCTGCTCGATACATTGTTGACCGGCAACTTTACGCAGAAGCTATCCCGTGTCACCGGTTATTATTCCGTAATTAATCCTGCGCACTCGGAAACTTTTTACTGGAAACATTCGACGCTCCGATGAGACATAGACGACACCGTTTGAAGCGAACTAATGAGAGAACATACGTAAATTAACACTAGAACTACCGAGCAGTTAAATTGTCTTTTTGAAATTGTTCTGTAGAAACCTGAACAGTGCAATTATTGAGACTTCAGTTGGTTTGCAATTCAATTTGTGTATTGCTAAAACAGTTTCTCTAGTACTTTTTCAGAGAAGCATCTGTTATCTGTTGAATAACTGGGAAAAATGAAATCAGGAATGGGTCATTTTGACCCATCCGGTAGTTCCAGTGTTAAGAAACAAAGCTATTTTATATAAATATTTCACATATTGATGCATTATACAAAACTTAATATTGTATATAACACTGTAATTTTGTTATATCAAATCAAATGGTGACTGAGAGTTACCTCTCGAGTGCAAAGGGTTAAATGAGCCGCTCGGAAACCAAAGCGGTTAAGTCCAGAAAAGGAGAAATGAGAGAATGAATGTTTTAATAATCATTGGAAAATGTCGAATGTTTCCAGTGACAAGCTTCCGAGTGCAAAAGGTTAAAACTTCCCTACAATTCTGTGACCCTTCCAGAACCACTGGTCCTCTTTGATCGTCACTGGCGGACCAATATTATTCCGTTTTTACGCCTTCAACGTATCCCCCGGTTCACTGAATATAATCAAACCTCTATACAGCGAACTCCCTCTCGTCCGATTTCGCTTTAACTCATTGATGCCAACGCTGCAATTCACGTTTTTGCTCGTCTAACGATGACAAATGGAGAAACCGATTAATCGGACAACGCAAGGATTGGTATAAATTTAAATTGATGAAGGGAAATGCAGAATTTTAAATCAAAGTTTAGAACTGGTCATTTGATTGGTTGTGATGGATTTACTAAAAAGGGGTTAACCCCTTGCCCTACGATTTCTTTGCCAATTGCTCTCGACAGAGATATTTTATTGTTGATAATTCATTAGGAAAAGACTGGACACTTATTCTATGTCTACGTGTACTCAGAAGCATTACAATTGATAATAGAAAAATAATAGAGATTCGGACTCGATAGAATTAAGCGATACTTATATTTGTTTCTATTCGATATTTTTACCACGAGTCTAGCACGTTATTATAAGACGCTATTATAAGACAAGGGGTTAATTGCAGATATAAATGCATAGGAACGATGACCAGCTCCGTAACTGCGGAAGCGAAGTGCCACGAGACACGTTTCGAAGAGCAAAAATAGGCCGTGCCCATCCGTTTATTAGCGCGGAAGCATCGCTTCACCCTGCTACGAGGGAATTATTTATAAACGACTATCTCGGAGACGAGACTTTCACTTGTAAATATCTAATAATATCGCCACGAGCCAGTATTTCACACCTTGACCACAGCGCACACGTGTCTGCCCCTGCAGTCGACTATCTCGTGCGCGACAATGATTTTAAATCGTTCTAAAATCGTATTAACGGACAATAAAAGGCAAAGTACGACTGCGTCAGTTTAATTTACGGACATTGCCGATCTTAAGATAGCAAAAACTCACACCAGTTCATCACGTTCGCTACCAGCGCTTATTTCGATGACGGTCTCCTCGATTATATCTTCTTCAATCCAATGAATCTAAACAAAGTATCAGAAAAATGAAATTGAAACGAGTCATTGAGTTTCTAAATATAATGTCGTAGATTATAATCTCTAATAACAATATCTATAGGATTAATTTCATTTTCATTCTGTAAAATATAGGATTACGGCCGTCACGTGACGTTGGTAGCGAACGTGTTATAGGCTAGTTTATAAAACGTTGGTTTTAAGAATCTTTTAAAATTATATATTAGTTTCTTTTATCAATGGGTTTATTGGATGAAAAGAGGAATGAAGCTGATATTAAATACAATTAACTAAAGATATACATTTATCGTTAGTACTCTAATAAGTAAACATAAAGTGAATTTCTGTAGTCTTCTAACAATTTTTGTTCCCTTAATGTAATACGTTTATAATATGAATGTTTTATTTGGAACATTTATTTGGCGTTGAAATCTGGAGAAATAAAGGATTAAATATATAAATCTTATTTTTGTAAATCATTATTTTTCTTTTTTTTTAAAGAATATGTCTTTGAAGCAGTATAATCATTTTGCAACGTAAATAAAAATGGGGAAGGTTAATATATCGTGTTAAAATGATTTTTTTATTATGGGCATTTACTATTTAAATTAAGTTAGTTGAACAAATGAAACAATTTATATTACAGTAAGAAATGTATATAAATAAGTAAATCGTATATAAATAAATAAGAGAAGGAAAAATTATTGGCATAAATTACGAGAAAACTCAAAACTGACTATATTCCCCAGTTACTATAAAGTGTCGCAAACAATACAGAGAAAATTCGAAGTTCAAAGTTCAGATCTATGGACACCCCGTATATAAAACCTGCTAAACATAGTTTATTTGCCTTGATCGTCGAAATTTTAAGATTTACGCGACGGCACTTTATCCTCTAAAGTGTACGTTATACTGTTAACACTTCTCCATTGTATATCAGCGAGCAAACAAAGAGAACACCGACAACTGTTTCTGTTAACATTTCCACTTAATTGATTTGATCTTCAAATAAACAACACCTTTGGTTACCGTGCCCTTCTCAAGTCGATACGTAATTCTCTTGTTTTCATTGTAATTGATGTTAATGAATATTAATTCCGAGATTCGTTTAGTTATGTAGAAATTGGAATTTTAATGAACTCGAATTAAAAATAATCGTAACTCATGCTTTTTTTTTATATTTCTTTAATAAAGTCAACATGTTTGAAACTTCATTCCTACGATATGCATTGTTTCAGTAGAAAATTAATGTCTGCTAAATTTTACTGCTTCAAGTGTACGTATATGTTACTGGCAATGTGTTTAACGTTGGCATTTTGTAGAATGCCCGTTCGAAAAGACATTGTGCAATATGCCCGTAACAAGTTTCGGTCAATCTATAAAATGTCCGGTCATTGTACAGAATGCCTAGAGGGTCGTGGTCAATGTATTGAAACGCTCTGATAAGGAAATTAAAAAATGTGTTTTTTATTGAGACAATATATCCCTTGGTCAAAATCAACATACAATCATTATAATCATAGTTAATCATAAGGATCATTTATTGGAGCAAGACAAAGGACTGTGGCACTCGGAATTACAAAGCTGACCGGTAGCTCTGCACTGTAACCAAGACCTAACCGCGGGCATTATATAAAATATCCAGGCCATTTGTGAAATACCTGCCCATTATGTACATTGCCCAAAAAATTGGGCATTCTGCAGAATGCCCGGTCATTTTACAAAATGCCCACGTTAAACGCATTGCCCGTAACATATATACCTAGTACTATAGGTATATACATTTCAAATTAATATTTCTCTTGGAGTTCAGCCACGTACATACTTCTCTATTTCTATTAATATTAAACGACTTACCTAATTATCCTAGAAGAATATTAATACCCAACCCAGACATCACGTTTTTAAATGGTTCGCAGGCAAGCTTTGTATAATTACATAATAGACCGTCTACTGTTCATCGATGCAAATGATTAACATCATTGTATAGATCAACGATGAAATCATTATCGAATGGAATTTGGATGAGACATCCATGAATAAATATTCAATTTTATATTTGAAGCTGTATCGTTGAGACGATATCATCAATCTAATAAGATGAAGCTATTGAACTAATAGATAAATGAAATCGAGAGACAATGTACAATGAAAGTTTCTTAATTAGGAAAAAGAAATAGAAGATAATGTTAATATTAACCCCTTGCCTATAATATGATTTACTTTTTAACTGCGATCGATGCAACTACTTTATTATTAATAATTTATTAGGAAAAAAAGAATTTTGATGCTTGTTCTATGTCTATGTTTCCTCCAGAGGTTAACGATTGATAGTAGAGAAGTAGTATTTAATTTATATTTAAAGAAAATAAATAACACTTACATTTTTCAGACTCGGTTTAAAACTTTCATCGCGAGTCTGACACGAGATTGTAGGTCAAGGAGTTAATATTAAATAACTTAATACTAATATAAATAAATAATATAATATCAATGTAAATATTAGATATTATTATTTTAAACTGTATATAATCCGATTCAACGAATATCGACAGCAAATTCCATTAACATGTTAAAGAAAGAAATACGATTATGCCCTACAACTTTTCCTCTCTTTTCATCGCAGATCTTCATCGCGAAATGGCCCCAACCATTTGCCTATCGGAGATTCCAGTAGTGAGAAGACCGACAATCCCATGTTCGCGTAGACGGCAAAGGGTTTCTTCCACCGGAGCCATTGGGAAACATCAAAGGCTAGAATTGAGGAGAATAGAAGCAAATCCGATGGCCTGTAAAGAATCATCCTTAACGTTACTGGAGAGTTCGGTTTGGGAACCGGAACGCCGTAATGACTCGTGCGTCCCAACGGTCGTCAGCTCTTCCTCGCCGAACGTTTCTGCCAGAGTTCCAACGGACACGGAACAACATTGGAAAGTGTTTCTCGCTCGGCGGAAAGGTGCGGTTTCTGTGACATTAAAACCCAACGGAATTAACCCTTTGCACTCGAGAGGCGACTCAGACGCCATTTGAATCCACACGGCAAAATTATAAAATTTATTTGGTTATTTCTAATATGAATTACTTAGCATTAGAAAATAACGTGAACATATATTTTGTAATCTCAATTAACGTATATATTTAATTTATACAAGACTGAAATAAACAGAAATTGTTTCTAATATAATATTTATTGTGTTGGTATACTGTCATTACACATCGGGTGCAATCTTTTAATACAACAAACACTATTTATGTTTATATTAATCATTCAAAATTCGATATCAAGTTTTGTGTAGTGTAACAACACGTTGAACATCGAAATAAAATAGTTCTGTTCTTTAATTTGTGCAAGACTTTTGTTTCTGTTAGTTGCAAAATATTTCGTCAATTTTATTGGAAAGTAATGAATATTTGTAATGAAGAATATTGTGGAGTGCGAAGGGTTAATGTGAACGTCAATCACAGATGAAAAATATTTGATGCAATTGCCAACGGTTGTCCTGAAAAGCGCGTCTTATCGATTTACATGAAATTTTGATGGAATGGGAAGGAGCGAAGAGGAGGGAGGGGAGGACAGCAAATTTTAGGTTCGGATTTTTGTTAATTTAGAAGATATTAATGACATTAATGAAACACTTTCGTACAATACATTGAATGCTGCCTATACAGACGGCAACTGGTATAGTGGAACTCCCTTTATCCGGATTCCATTAATCCAGATTCTCAGTTTATCCGGATTATAAACCGTAATCACTATTTTCTTTATTCTACTAATTACTTTCAATATACTGAGTCTACGTTTATATTAATGCATTCGAGTCGCCGTTTTCTATCTCACATCTCATTCTTTTTCCAATATCTTAATTCTTTTACAGTAGTCTAATTAAAATCAAACTTATACTGGTTGTAGACACGTATGTTGGTTTATACTGTAAAAGTATACAAAATTTGTAATAAACATATCCTTAACACTAGGTTTACGGAACGCGTCAATTTGACGCAGATTGAATTTTACAAACATTATTTGGTAAATGTTTCAATCGGTTTTCGTTGATCCAATTACACGAATATGAATCCTGATTGTCTATTTCTACGTCTACAATTTCCAAAATCTAAATGAACGAATATCAACTTCCCCAGGAACAATAGAATAAACTGTACAATAAATGCCCGTAAACCTAGTGTTAACAAACTTTCAAATTGGGTCCGGTACCATTTGTGTCGGAAAAACAGAGTTCTACTGTATAACCGTCTTCATTGTAGGAATCTATGTTGCCGACTGTCAACAGTATTATCTATAGGATGTCCGACCTAAAATTAATTTCTTAGATATAGAAATGAGATTTATTTATATACAACAGAACCTGCTATTAATGGGGTCAGTTTTTTCGGGATAGAGATGCAGAGAGATCTGTTCTACATGCACACTTGTACTTCATAATTACCAAAAATCCTTTCAGTCTGAAACCATGATCTTAGGTGACTAAAGCTGCAATAACCGATTTTTCTTGGAGCACCCTATAGATAGTGAGTCCTAATGATTCACCGATGGTCTTTGCTACAGCAATGACTACGGCATAGTCATATCTGCATAGGCAAAATGCAATGTATTGTACCAAAAGTTTATAATTAATATCTCAGGGACCAATAAATAAAATAAAAATTGTATACTTGCGGTCTACCTCCCATCTCCTACAGTTCATTAAAATTTCATGTTTGTTGGCGAGAGATGCTTTTCAAAACAATATTTACTAATATAAAAATCAGTAAATTATATTTGAAATAAAAATTAAAATGAGAATTTTAAAAAATGTTTATTATCCTTGTGGCGTCTACTTAAATATTTTCGTGAGCGACTATTTGTATATGGGATAATTTAACCGTTAACATAACATTTTTCATCTATGTGAAATAAAATAAAGTTAAGTAATGTAAGTACAACTTCGAATAATTCAAATTTCTTTTTACAATCCCGTAGGTCTTTTAGACATTGTCGTGCGTACAATAGCTCTGATCAGGCGAAACAATATCCTCCAAGAAAGAGTGAACGCACTCAGCGCAGAGACACGTGACTTCATTCACTCGGTGCTCAACAATCCTGAAAACAAGTGCGCACAACAAAGATTGGATACACCGAGTTCCAAAGATGAAAATGTTTCTTCCACAACAGAAAAAACAAATTCGAGATCACCATCTCTTCCATCAAGTCCAAGCTCTTCCTGCTCTTCATTAGATGACATCACATTCAGTTGCAATAATAGTGAATGCGATGAACAATCTTTCGACGAATTCTCATCGTCTGAAAACGATGAATCGTAAACCTCACATTCATGTACATATGAAAGGTAATCCCGAAATGGTACTGAAGAAAATTATTAATATAGAGTATGCTAACTCTTAGAGGACACACGAGCTATAAGAGCGTGCAGTGATTTCTGTAGATGAGTGGAAACACGTAATAAGAAATTAAATAGTATCATTTTAATCTAATAATTGCATGGGATCACCTTTAAAATAAATATTGAAGTTCATATACTTAAAAAATAAGATATAACGAACTTGTCATTTTAGCCACTTAAGAAAACTGGCTTTAAAGGTATGATGAAATTTCGGGACTCCAAGTATTGGGTTTCAGTACAGCTCTAGACTATTCCCATTTCAGAAAAACTGATTTTAACCCTTAATGGTCAACAATTTTCTATTAACTCTTTGCGAACGAGACTGTATTAAGCTTCTAACATTTCTTTTCATAAAAAAGTGAATTATGCATCGAAGTCTTAACACATTGAGCGCCGGCAACTTAAGAGTAGCAACTTGTATCTGATCAATGAGTAGCCAAAAAAAATATTCAAAACATTATACATTTTCGCAAAATAGTACATTTTAATTGCATATTCGTCATATCCAGAAATGGAAATCCAGAAATCCGCATTATTGCGAGGCCGGCGCTCAAGCGATAGACTCAAAATCCCGCGTTTTCACGGGGCCGGCGCTCAATGTGTTAAACACTAAAAGAAAAAAAAACAACATGTTAATCCGTCGTTAGTTGAATAATTAAATTATTCATTTGCAGTTTTCGATTTTAGATATCGAAGTTCGAAGTTGCCGTTGCGGCGACATTCGACCGCCAAGGGTTAAAATTTAAAGACATAAAATCAGAACTCCGTAAATTTCCTGTTTCAATTTTCTGTAATATAGATTATTTAGCACACGAAAAAGCTTTTTTCCATTGGTTACATAAACTTACAAACTCGCTATATCTCATTCACTGACTATAATCTAAACATTTTTCTAAAGAGAAATTTGACATTCATTAATGTTACCTTTTAATATTGCATGTAATACAGCAGTTTCTATATACCTATAATTAACTCATATTATAATAAATCAAAGGATATAATTTCTAATCTGCTATCTAAAGATGATCACTTTAATGAAGAGACTATTTAGTCTCTATTTAGGAGGTATGCATAAAGGAAGTCTGAAGGCAATAGCATAATTTAATATTAAAAGTCGTAAATTGATATAGTTTTTACATGTCAAACAAGGTAATGTTTCAATATAAGATATAGACATTTGATTAGTTATAACAATAACTTCCGTAGGTACATAAAATTTACTATATATTAGCATATATTATTATAACCAGGAATGAAAGGTACGGTGCTTTAGTCATTTGACTATGAGATATTGAACGACGATACAATCGCTTCTTAACTATTTGAATTAGATATTAGAAATGAAGCTAAAATACATTTATTGTGATTTTAATCAAATTCGCTTTTCTAGTACAAAAACTTCAAAATATTTCGTTTTGAGTTAACTGAAATAATAATTTATAATCATTATTGTTATTGTCTCATTCTTTCTTTATATATTTCGATTAACACTATATGAATTTAAAACGAAATAAATTCTAAGCATAAATTAGCAATCCAATTACTTATAATATATCAAAGAATTAAAGTAAACTGTTAGGAAAAAACTTAATGTCTGTCTATTTCTAATTATTTATGTAGTCACTATAATTTCTTAATAGTTAATATTTTTTCAAATCAAAGTTTTTATTTTTATTAATTTAAAATTTTGTGATTCACGTTTCCAAAAAATTTCATTATGAGATCTGGAACTTATTTGCTGTAAGAAGAACTTAAAGATGAAAACGTAGAATTTATATTAAAAATTAGACAAACAAGTATATATAATATATATTTTAAAAAATTCTGATTTCACTTAAAAATTGATGATACTTCTTTTTAAGAAAGGTATTTACAACAGTAGCTTATAATACTCTTTATTAAAAAAACAAAGAGAATTACTTAGTAACACCTGTGAGAAGCTATTTTTATTTGTATAGTTTCATATATTCAAAATATATAATAAATATAAAACACTAAATGATACTTTCTAAATTCAAGAAGTTTATATAAATTCAAATGATGTAGTTACTTAGAACAATAGTCAAAATATCAATATATTAAAACAATACAATTTATAATGCGTTGCAAAAAAGTAGAATTCATTCAATTGGTGAAATATTAATATTAATATTTTTATTGTGTGGTCCATTCATGACAAAACATTAGTAAAAGATAAAATATAAAATTTTTTCAATTTGTCTTCACATTGAAATTTTTTATTTAAAATTTTTTACTTTAGAGCATTCTTTGAGGATATTGCTCTACAAATTCATGGCTGTGAAATTTTGTATTTGAATGTGTTGTAATTTTGTTTCTTTTCTCGTTTGCAAAATTTAATTATTATTAAAGCGCTATAAAAACATATTTACAATACCATTGTAAATAAATTTATTTTTAATTTATTTATGAATAATATGAATTGAACATAAAAACATATGGATTTAAAGCCATTATGACTTTCGAGATTTAAATATTAAACCCCATCAGTTTATCAATATAGTTGGAACAAATTGTATACAATACTCGCTTACATTCATTTATTGTAGTTTATAGATATTGATATATTAATCAGCATACTTAATAACTTGAATTTAACACTTTAGATGCATTTAATGTCCGTGAACTTACACGACGCGAAATATAGTGCAACTTTGATGAAAGTTTAATACAAATATTTTTCAATCAGCAAACAATGTCATTTATTAACAATTATATGTGGTTTGTAGCTTCACATACATATTTATCCATGATTATCAAATCTAAAAGCAATGTATTTCTAACAGAATTTGTAATTGCGTGATAATCATAATGTTTATTGAAAATACAATTTACAGATCCTAAATGAATAATATACATATATGTGCGATATATATGTGAAATTAGTAACTCCTTCTGATGTAGCATTGTTATTTTAATGTCTTTGAACTATCTAGCATAGCAATCATCTCTACTTTTTCATTAGTTATTAATATCAATTGAAACAATAAAAATAGAAAGGTATATTAAATATAAATAAAGTATATTACTCTATTCCTTAAATCTTTTTATCAAATGCTTATGAAAAAGAAAGATTAAATTTATAAATTATCGAAAATCAAAACGCATTTATT